ATACTATTCGGATGTAAAATAATAAGGTTGAGAACTACTGCTCTGTTCTTCTGATTGGAGAAATTTGTATCTTTTTAACAAATCGAATGTTATTAGCTTCCAGATAATTCAACCAAATAGCTTCCAGTGAATCCACTTCTGTGTTCCTCTGTTGGATTATTGGGTCTGAGTTGATGTTTTCCAATTATCTGCTCACACAGCTTCTGATCAGGTCAACTTTCCTGAAATAATCTACATTCACTCACTGAAAAAAGCTTAGCTTAAGCATCCAGGATGAAAACAGAGGCTTTAGAGGTAATCCAGTGCATATGTAGATCAGTAGACATCTAGAGAAGGTGATAGGACGCATGAGCTGTTTTATAAACAGATACAGAGTGGGTAAAATTTTCCAGAGAGAAAAGGAAAGCAATCAGCAGCACCTGGAGGCTCATAGAGATCACATGGTGGGCTTGGATGAGTCCAGAGGGTCGTTTTATACTGGATGAAACCTGATGAAGATGATGGATGGTTTCCATAGAGAGGAACTGCCAATATTTGACAGGGCATGAAGAGTTTGGGAAAGAAACCGAACATTAGTGGAGAGGTTTCGACGGTTTAGTCCTTCTGTGGCCAGATCTGAACCTGACAATAAACTTTAACCTAACTGCTACCAGTTCATACCTAATCTTAACCTAAACTCAGTCCTAAACCTTTGGGGGAAGACCAGCAGATGTCCTCATTTTGGTACAAACAGTCCTCAGTATAGAACAGAATAGAATTTTAAAAAATCTATTTATTGTCCCACGATGGGGAAATCGTGGTGCTACAGCAGCAAAAGGTTATAGCAGAAGTGGTCACACAATGTCCGTAGTATGATAGAAATGATAAAAACTGGTCCTCACTATGATGCCAAAACAGGAGGACACACACAGGAACACACTGCATCTATCAGGCAAACTACAGTTAAACCCCAAACCACTCACACCTCGCTCAGGTTTACCTTTAAAGTCACATTTCTCTCTACTGAGCTCTTTGTTTTACTGTAAATAAAATAAACCATTTTAGAGCAGCGCCTCAATGAGAATCTCTAGAGGGAGCAAAAGA